TTATTGCTGTGACTTATTCATTCCATAACTGGAGGCCTAGATCTCCCACTCCCCTTCACCCGTTTTGCCCAACTCCCCACTCCTCTCCCCACTGGCAACTATCAGTGTGTTCTCTGTGTTTATAGGTCAGCTAAATGGTTTAATTTTTGTCACAACAAATAATAGTACTATTAAACACAGTCTGCCTAAGTATTTTTCTGTACTTCAGATTACTTCAAGAATCAGTATGTGTCTTGGAAACAAAATTACTAGGTTATGAGGCATGACTATTTTAAAGGCTTTTAAAAAGGATAAAATTAGTCAACTTTTCAAAAAGTATTATCAATTTTTATTTCCACCATTAGTGGATAACGGCATTCATCCTGGTGCACCATGAAGTTTTCGGTTTTATTATAATTTAAGATTGTTGATTTGATGAATGAAAATCAGCATTTCATTGTTAAGCATACTCACCACTACTCAGAACTATTGGCAATCTCCAACCTTATCAGCGCAATTCAAAATAGGCATAGAAACAAGTGCTGGAGCAGAGAAAAAAGGACAATGAAAGTGGAGAGTTACGTGAGGTGAGGTGAACAGTTGGAATTAGTAATTTTTACTCAGCATCATTTTTCCTCAGTCCTGACAGTCCCCCGTAGTTCACACTTTACATTCCAATAGACCCCACTGCACACACATCCTTTCCACTGTCACTTGCCTTTTCCCCAGGAAAGGTGGGGAAAGTGCAGCTCTTGGTCCCATTCTACCAGGCCTCCTCCTAAGCATTGGGATAGGGAAGAAAAGAAAAAAAGCAAGAAATGGTCAGCTGTATAACTTGTGGTGATGAGAAGCTCTATCTTCAACATTTCTGCAGTTTTTGTAGTACAATAAAATTTAATGAAAATGAATCCTTTTTGTCCTAAGTTGTAATTGTTTGTATGTATATCAGCTTCTCCAAACAAGTTCCATCAAGTTTATAGCATAAGGACTTAATCACATCTTACTTATTGCTCTCAATCCCTAGTATATCAGAGAATGAAGAACATGTAAAGTTTTTTTTTTAATATTTGTAAGCATAACGTTTTAGTTTAAAGTATAAAGTAAGTGTAAGTTAAAGTTTAGTTTTGTTTGGTCTAACAACTTACTTAGCTCTTAATTTAAATAGATGTCACTCAATCTTTCCATTTGCAACATGGATGGAGTATAATGATCAGCAAAATAAGTCAATCAGAGAAAGACAAGTACCATAGGATTTTGCTCATATGTGGAATTTAAGAAATAAAACAAATGAACAAAGGGGAAAAAAGAGAGAGAAAGAGAGACCAATCAAGAAACAGACTTTTTTTTTTTTAAGGATTTCATTTTATTTGACAGAGAGATAGAGAGCACAAGTAAGCAGAGAGGCAGGCAGAGAGGGAGAAGCAGGCTCTCTGCTGAGCAGGGAGCCTGACGCGGGGCTTGATCCCAGGACCCCAGGATCATGACCTGAGCCAAAGGCAGCCGCTTAACCGACTGAGCCACCCAGGCGCCCCAAGAAACAGACTCTTAACTATAGAGAATTGATGCTTACCAGAAGGGAGGTGTGGGGGGGGCGGGTAATGGGTGAAACAAGTGATGGGAATTAAGAAGGGCACATGTGATGAGCACCAGGTGATGTATAGAAGTGTTCAATCCCTCCCTGTATTGTACACCTGAAACTAATATAACATTGTATGTTAACTGGAATTAAAATAAAAACTTAAAAAATAATAAAAAATAAATAAGTAGATGTCACTCTATCAGGTATCATTAGTTAGGTTAAAAGATTGAAAAAAGATAATGAAAACTCTTGTACAGCTAAGATGAAATATTAAAGCAATAGTACAAAGAATATCTGGTAATTGAGTAATATGTTTGAGATGCACAAATTTGCTAACAAAATATTGTGAAGAATAAGTATTAAACATTTCTATTATTTACTACCACCCTGGTACCCAAAACGAGCTAAAGTTCTTAAAAATCAACATATGAGGGGTGCCTGGGTGGCTCAGTCGTTAAGCATCTGCCTTCGGCTCAGGTCATGATCCCAGGATCCTGGGATCGAGCCCTACATCAGGCTCTCCGCTCTGCGGGAAGCCTGCTTCTCCCTCTCCCACTCCCCCTGCTTGTGTTCCCTCTCTCGCTGTGTCTCTGTCAAATAAATAAATAAAATCTTTAAAAAAAAATCAACCTATGAATTGTTAAAATCACAACAAAATAAACAAAAACAATCCTTTATAAATCTCTGTAAGGTCATGTATATATGCATCTCATACCTATACTGCTGAGAAGCCTTTAAAATAAGAATTGAAAGCTGGTAATATTAAATTATCTAAAAGCACCCTCTAGTGGCAAAAAAAAAGCAGTTTACCTATAAGACAGACAAAATCATCTATGAGTACCCTGACAGTAATAACCTGAAAACTTTCTAAATGAAAATAAGTCTGGCTATCATTAACTTGGTTTTAATGATTTTTCCACTGCTCTATTCAATAATATAGTCCATTAGAAAAGTTAACCTATCTTAGTACTAAAAATATATCCACCATATAAAATACATATACCTGCAATGCAAATAAAGACAAAAGAGTTCTGCTAACTTTGTAGTTATGTACCTCTTCTATTATTTTTCATTCCCTGAGCTTCTATTCATGGTAAAAGTATTCGTCTCTAGAACAGGGAAGATTGAGTACAAACCAAACATGTCTAATTTGATTGTATTTTTACTAGAGACAGTTACTGTTTAAAATTTTAAATATGATAGTCTAAATCACTAAGTATTGATCACAAACCAATACTATTTGCCATTAAACTGTATATTTCCTAACTAGAAATATCCACAATGTTTCCTATCAACCTTGACTTCACTCATGTTTTCGACTGCCATATTTTATTGGACATAAAGAGAATTTTTCTGTCTTAGAAATCTTGTAATGAAACATACTTATAATACTTGATGCCATAAAACACTTCAATTCAAAAAATAATAGCACTCTCTTTAAAAGCTGATGGCACAAAAACCCTGCCAGTGAAAAGCTATTATCTCATTTAAAAACTCTGTATTTTAACTTTGAATATTTTCTTCATATTTCAGTGTGCTCTTATCTTTCTATTACCTATGTGTGGCTAAAAGCTAAGACATCAATAAAGACCAATTGAAAATTTTTTTTGCTATATGTCTTTATTGAATTGGTTCAGAAATGAAGACAGTATTTGTAATAAAAAACAGTGAACAAGAGACAACAGCAACCATAATAATCTTACTTATTCAAGCTAATGACTTTCAGAATAATATATAAGCAATTTTTACATTTTTAATTTAAGCTTACAGTCATTTATTTTATTCTACCACACTAGCAAATACTTGTGAAAATAAATAAAAATAAAGTAAATGATGCATAGATCTAGGAAAATTTCTTATTAACTGAACTATTGCACAACAAATCAATGTGAGAATAATATATGTAAGTAATACAAAAATGCATTTAAATACATTGTCACAACATGTTTCATAATTCATAAGTATACTTCACCTACTTACTCTTTATAATAATCTCTGGGTTCTAGAATTGGATGATTTTTTACCAACTCATTTTCCATGTAGTACATTATTAACATTTACTGGCTACTGCAAAATTCTGTGAGGAACAAACATGTGCCACTGCATTTAAGTTCATTTACCTACCCCTTCTTTGGGCAAAAATTATGTGGTTTAAAAAAAAAAAACAAAAAACAAAAAACTTGGAAAAAGAAAAATAATGCTGAGTTCCAGGGAAAACAAAGTTTAAAGTTCTTCATATGATTTATAACAGGACAGAGTAACATATATTATTGAAATGAAAATCTAATATGTACATTATTCTAAATTAATTACAGCTTATTCTAGCTAATGGATTCCTTTTTTAGACCAATATGTCTGAATAAAGAAAACCAGATTTTAAAAAGTTAATGAAAAGTCAGGAAAGAAACTATAAGGTAAATAAAACGACAATTCCCATTACCTCAAAGTTTATATCCCCTGCCCGAATGAAAAAACAAAACAAAACAAAACCACAAAAAAACTAATGATACAATTATAAAGTATAAGCGTAAATAAATTTCAGAGAAAATTAAAAGCCACAAATTTCTACATTAACCCTTACAGTTGATCACAATCATAAACAAGAAGCTAAAAATGGCCAACAAAAGATTTGCTTACACCTTTATAATAAGATCAAAGCTCTTTTCTTTCCATTCAACAGAAATTACTAAGGAGTTACTGAACCTGGCTGCACAGGCCATCAAAGATTCTACTACTAAATACTGTCACACTGAAAGTGACAATGATTAAAAGCTATATTTTAGCCAAAGTTAAAGTATAATTTTTTGTGAATGTTTAATTACATAAGTCAGCTGTGCATTAAAGCAGTGCATTTTCAGTGGGTTTTTTTTACTGTGATGTGAATGGTGTTTCAGTATTAAACACTAAAAAGAAAATATAAGAGGAAACATTAGTCTCTTAACCAACTCATCGTTACATCTAAATATACTTCAAGGGAAATTAAAATTAAAAAATTAAAATACTTTTTACCTGCATTCCCTGTAGTAATTATTAATTATCCAAATTATTTATTAGGGTGAGGTGGTTTATTTTAAAATCCATTAAAATAATTTTTTCTAAATTCAGACACAGAAATAAACATGTAGAATTTTGCAAGGAATTTTGTGCCTCTTATATTAAATAATTATTTTCAAACTTTGCAAAAATAAGGAAGTAGTAAATTAAAACTCCTCAGACATGAGGTTATGAAAAAGAAAAAAGTGAAATGTGGAGACACAGTTAGAAATAGAAAGAATATACATTCAACTAAACACAGAGGTAAAAAAAAAAAAACCTTCAGTTATAACTGGAATAAAATACATTTGTATTTTTCAGTCTTGTGTCTCTGAAAAGGAAACTGCATAATTACATTTTGAGGAATGAATAAAGATGTCTAAATTATATAATTAATGATATACCAAGTAAAGGACATCATAGACCGATAGGGGTTTAATTCCTTTCTTTTTTTAATATTTATAAAATTAATTGTTAAAGAGCTCTACAGGAAAATGACCTTGTATAACTGTAACTGAAAATACTCTCTTCATTTCCAAAATTCCAAGCATCCCATCCTATACTATGTGAAAATAGGCACCGATAATAAAAATTTTGTTCTGATTTTTTGCTCAAAGTAATGATCATCCTAAAGCTTGAAGGGCTGAGCACTAGCATTTGATTTTGTGAAGGTATGTTTAATGTGCAATAACAACAGAAACATTAATGATTCCACTTGAAATTATTTTCTGACAGATGAGTATTTCCATAAATGGCACAGTCTGGGGTATCAGGTATTTATTATATACAGTATATGTACACATTTATATACACACACACATTACACAGCCAAAGAATTATGCTCCAAAAATTGCTGAAAAAAGTATTTTGAATAATTTTAGCATAAAATCACTAAAGGAAGTGCTTTAGCTGTCCAAGCTGCAACAGTCATAAAATTCTGGACTTAGCTTTTTCTTTTGGGCTCTATTCACAGAACCATTCTTCGAATGCCACATTCACAGCAAAACTTTGCCCAATCTACAGGGTATTTAGTCCCACACTCATGGCAGAATTTTGGTAAGTGTCCTGTTGAATTTCCTTCCATGCCTTTAACGTTTCCGCCATTAAGTGAAGATGTATAGTCTCCATCTGGCCTGAAGGAGTACAGGAAGAAAAGTAGAAACACAAAGTTCTTGTCAGTAATTTTCATAACCCTTTTCTAAGGGTTACAGTGACATTAAGTATACTTAGGTCTCCCAAGAAAGAGAAACACCTGACACTTCCTGCTTACAGTACTTAAGTATAAGCAAAAGCTTGCTTAACCTCAGTTTTAATATTTTTCTAGTTCAGATTTTTAAAATCCCTTTTAGTTAATAATGAAATTCTAAATATTTTCTTTGGCACTGTATTTGTCCCTGTTTATGAGAATTTTTCATGGGCAAATACTACCACACTTTCCATTTGTTCAATGTACTAGGCATATACTACAATGGAAATAGAATGGAAATTTATAGTGTCCCTTCTGCAAAACCATTTCTAAAGAGAAAACTAGAACTTCACCCTGAGGAAAGATGGACGTCTTTCCTCCAAATATATACTGTAATAAATATGTACATATTATTGTACATATTATAAAACAACATATACATAACTTCTCCCAATGTGTCATGCTATTTTCACTGTATCCATGGAGTCTTTTCACTCGAATTCTCATCACTAGCATCAGGCTAAATCTTGTTAGGTCCTTTGCTCTAATTTAGTTATACATACTCAAATTCTCTCATCCTTCATCCCCTGTACTGTAACCCTCATGGCTCTGGACACTCTCCCTGCCACCCTAAAATTGTGTCCTCCTTTGCTTTCTTGTTTTCCATCTGACAATGCAGTGTATGTCATTTCTGTTATGTCTTGTCTTCTCCATAAGACTGTGAGCTCCCCCAAGTGCAGTGATTTTTATCTGTTTTGTTATGCTCTATGTCTGGGATCAAGAGAAGTACCTGACATAAATTCATCTCTCAGCAAATATTTTTTAATGAGTCAGTGAATGAATGAGTAATATATGAAGAAGATAAAGCAAAATATTTGGTCCTTTTAAAATGATAAACTCTCAAGATTGAGCAAAAGAAAAGGAATAAACAATATTCAGAATGAAAGAAGGCTATAACTACAGATATAGCAGAGATTTAAAATTATAAGCACAAGGGGCGCCTGGGTGGCTCAGTCATTAGGCGTCTGCCTTCAGCTCGGGTCATGATCCCAGGGCCCTGGGATCAAGCCCCACATCAGGCTCCCTGCTCTGCTGGAAGCCTGCTTCTCCCTCTCCCACTCCCTTGGCTTGTGTTTCCTCTCTCACTGTGTCTCTGTCAAATAGATAAAATTAAAAAAAAAAATTACAAGAACAATTCTATGCTAATAATTTGAAACTTAGATGAAATGAAACATTTCCTAGAAAAATATCTTATGAAAACTGATTTCAAACAAACTGTAACACTAAACAGACATAATCATTAAAGTGATTGAATCAGTAATTAACATACTACTCCTTATCACGTGGGCACGTGCAGACACACACACACACACACACACACACACACACACACACAGTGGACTCATGATAATTTTACATCACAAGTTCTAGGACGCCTGAGTGGCTCAGTCGGTTAAGCGTCTGCCTCCAGCCCAGGTCATGATCCCAGGGTCCTGGGACTGAGCCCAGCATCAGGCTCCCTGCTCAGTGGGGAGTCTGCTTGTCCCTCTTCTTCAGCCCCTCACCCTACTTGGGTTTTCTCTCTATCAAATAAATAAACAAAATATTTTAAAGAAAAAGACATGGTAAGTTCTACTAAGCTTTTCCAGCAGAGGGTGGTGAAAAACAACATTCTGCAATTTCTTTTCAAAGGTCAGTAAAACCTTGATATTCAGACTAATAAGAGAATATAAAATTATAATCAATTTTACCTATTAACTTGGAAATACATATAAATCTCCAAGAATTTTAGCAAACACAATCTACAGACATATGCAATTCAAAACACTTTGGATTTATTCCAGAAAGTAAGATTGCTTTAACATTAGAAAATCTACTAATATAATTTAAAACACAAATAGATTAAAGGATTTAAAATACTGGTTTTATATATATGATATCCAGTAAGATTCACACCTATTTTTTATTAAAAAAAAAAAAACACTTAGAAAATTAGGAATAGAAAGGAATTTCATTGACAAAATGTATTTAACAGAATCCTTTATCAGTCTTCATATTTAATGGTGACATTTAAGAAGCATTTTCTTTAAAAGCAGAAATGTCACAAGAATGTCAGCTATAATCACTTCTATTTTAATAAATAATATAAGGAGAATTCTTTCTCCGTTTCTGTGGACACATCTGACGTTGGGATAACTGCCTAGCTTTCTTTAATGAGAACCTTTAAAAAGGTGGAATGCCAGCTGTGTTTCCAGGCAGCAGTGCTTGTACGCAATCCACGGGAATTAGACATCCCTGAGGACAACCTGAAAGCTACGTCTACGGGGCTGTTACAAGAGAAACTGGTTCCCTTTGGGGACACAGAATTTCCAATTAAAGTATCCTACACCCACCTATTAAGATCTTGTTCTCTCACACCCAAGCTGTCACTTGGACGGCCAGAGAAAATCAGCTCCAGGACCGGGGCAAGGGCTCCCAGGAAAGAGAAACACCTGACACTTCCTGCTTTCATTCCCTATTTCCCATAAATAATCCCACTGTCATATTTTAGCATGTGATTACCTCCAGCCGAGCCCAAGACAACCTCTTGATGGACATTTCAAGAGTACTGGCTTAGAGGAAGAGGCGAGGGGAAGGAGGAGAGGGGAAGGAAAAGTTGAGTTTCTAAAGCTCCACTCTGTACAAGTCCAAGAAATCACCTCCTCTCTCCCACAGTGACATTAAAATCCAAGCCTTTAAGTAGGGAAGATCAGTCAAAACCTCAAATGTAAGTTCAGTGTCAGGGTTAATTTACCAATCTGACCCCTAGTTTCCTTTATTTACTTACCTGTGGAAGTTTGTCTAACTTTTCTGAGAGCTAAGCTACACATTCAAAAGGATATTTGTTCCATTTTGTGTAGCATTTTTAGGTGTTTTGGGTTGGAAGGACCATCCAGAAAATGTAGTCTATCACACTTCCAGAAAAAGAAATCTGTGAGATTTCTTCATCTGTTATGGTTATAATTATTCCATCTGGGTAGGGTAGTAAGTCAAGTGAACAAGGTTTACTATCACCTATCAACCATTTAAAAAGAAAGAAAAGAAACAAACAAAAAAAGAATTCAAACTCATTTTTAATGTGATTTTTGCCCCTGCACTCCTTTTGTTGTCACTTCTTTGTCTACCTCTTTAGAAAGATAAGATGTGCTTTTTATTCAAGCACATGTATTTATTAAGTTTTCCATTTTGTAAGAGAATGTTAATCCTACATTCAGCATGTATCCAAAACACATGGCTCCACACACATACAACAACATAGTACAGCCAACTTCAGGACTCCAAGAAACATTACTTCTTTAATATTTAAAATGTATCAAAACCTTAGGTGAAACAAACAGTATTCATTAAAGAATCTACCTGCAAAGGTAGCAATTCACCTAGTCTTTTATGGTTCTCACCCCTTGTTATGCATGAGCATCACTCTTAAAATTTTAAAAATCCAAACCAAAGAAATCAAAACCTCTCTGGGAGGCACGTGGACGTGTTCATTTTTAGAAAGTTCCACAGGAGAAAGGGGAACCCTCTTACACTGTTGGTGGGAATGCAAGTTGGTACAGCCACTGTGGAAAACAGCGTGGAGGTGCCTCAAAAGATTAAAAATAGAGCTACCCTATGACCCAGCAATTGCACTCCTGGGTATTTACCCCAAAGACACAGATGTAGTGAAAAGAAGGGCCATATGCACCTCAATGTTCATAGCAGCAATGTCCGCAATAGCCACACTGTGGAAAGAGCTGAGATGCCCTTCAACAGACGAATGGATAAAGATGTGGTCCATATATACAATGGAGTATTACTCAGCCATCAGAAAGGATGAATACCCAACTTTTACATCAACATGGATGGGACTGGAGGAGATGATGCTAAGTGAAATAAGTCAAGCAGAGAAAGTCAATTATCATATGGTTTCACTTATTTGTGGAACATAAGGAATAGCGTGGAGGACATTAGGAGAAGGAAGGGGAAAATGAAGGGGGGGGAAATCAGAGGGGAAGATGAACCATGAGAGACTATGGACTCTGAGAAACAAACTGAGGGCTCTAGAGGGGCGGGGGTGGGGGAATGGGTTAGCCTGGTGATGGGTATTAAAGAGGGCATGTACTGCATGGAGCACTGGGTGTTATATGCAAACAATGAATCATGGAACACTACATCAAAAACTAATGATGTACTGTATGTTGACATAACATAAATAAAGTTAAATTAAATTAAAAAAAAAAAAGAAAAGAAAACCAAAACTGGTGGTATCACAATTCAGGACATCAAGCTATATTACAAAGCTGTAATCATCAAGACAGTATGGTATGGGCACAAAAACAGACACATAGCTCAAAGGAACAGAATAGAGAGTCCAGAAATGGACCCTCAACTCTATGGTCAACTAATCTTCAAAAAGCAGGAAACAATATCCAATGGAAAAAAGACAGTCTCTTCAACAAATGGTGTTGGGAAAATTGGACAGCCACATGCAGAAGAAGAATGAATCTGGACCATTTCCTTACACCACACACAAAAGTAGACTCAAAATGGATGAAAGACCAAAATGGATAAAAGACCTAAATGTGAGACAGGAATCCATTAAAATCCTAGAGGACAACACAGGCAGCAACCTCTCTGATCTCAGCCATAGCAACTTCTTACTAGACACATCTCTGAAGGCAAGGGAAACAAAGACAAAAATGAACTATTGGGACTTCATCAAGATAAAAAGATTTTGCACAGCAAAGGAAACAGTCGACAAAACCAAAAGACATCCAACAGAATGGGAGAAGATATTTGCAAATGACATATCAGATAAAGGTCTAGTATCCAAAATCTATAAAGAACTTATCAAACTCAACACCCAAAGAACAAATAATCCAATCAAGAAATGGGCAGATGACATGAACAGACATTTCTCCAAAGAAGACATACAAATGGCCAACAGACACATGAAAAAGTGCTCCACATCACTCAGCATCAGGGAAATCCAAATCAAAACCACAATGATATAACACCTCACACTGGTCAGGATGGCTAAAATTAACAAGTTAGGAAATGACAGATGTTGGCGGGGATGTGGAGAAAGGGGAACCCTCCCACACTGTTGGTGGGAATGCAAGCTAGTATAACCATTCTGGAAAACAGTATGGAGGTTCCTCAAAAAGCTGAAAATAGAGCTACCCTATGACCCAGCAATTGCACTGCTGGGTATTTACCCCAAAGATACAAATGTAGTGATCTGAAGGGGTACGTGCACCCCGATCTTTATAGCAGCAATGTCCAGAATAGCCAAACTATGGAAAGAGCCCAGAAGTCCAACAACAGGTGAATGGATAAAGAAGATGTGGTGTGTACACACACACACACACACACACACACACACACACACACACACACACA